ATTTAAACTCAAAAAATCTTGTTTCAGCAGAGATCTGGATACATTCAGAGAATAGATTTTTCCAGATTTCTTTTCACACAGAAAAAAGTATCATGTCTAGTACTGGCATTTAAAGAATGAAAAAGTAAAAAATCCAGAGTCAAAATTATTTAATTCAAGAACTGAGTAAGACAACATCTGAAGGTTTGAGTCTAAATTTGCAGGTAAAATTAACTTATCAATATTCCCAAATGAAGCAAGAGGCACACCACAGTTTATTACTATAGACATGTGAATATTTGGGGACTCTTAACTGTATTAGCACCAATAGGAGACATTCCTAATGGTCAGGGCTCAATTTTACTTAAGATCTTATAAACAAGAAGAGTTTCCACATGTCTTCTGGATGATTGCTTTGCAAAATAGTAAAAGTTTTCTCATTTGTATGACAAATAACTAGCTGGGGTTTAATCATATCATGCAATTCTAGAGAAAATTGAAAATCAACAGCTACAATTAATGCATTCTCCCTGTGCAATTAGGCGATAATTATATGCTTGGTAGTAGCAAAATGTTAGGAAAAAAATGTTAAAAAACAAACAATAACCAAGAAGTTACTTGTCTAACTGGACAACTTCACCAGCATTAACATTGAGAGCTTCACTTTTTTCTGTCAAGAGACAGAACAATTAACAGAATACCTTCACTAGGACACTTTCTAGGAAGTGGGAATAAAAAAGAAAGATGGCAGTATTCTCAGACTTCATTATAAGTAAAAATAACAAAAGATGCTTAAGAATTTCCTGTAAGACTTTTTTGAATATAAAAAAAAGGAAACTTTATTTTTTAATAGATTCCTCATCTCACTGCAAGTCATCACAAACAAGTTTTGATCTATTTCTCAAGAAGGAATGAGGTATAAGTAAATTTTCTACTTAAGTTTTTATCAACAACATCTAGTATATCACAATTGCTTTGATAAAATCTGAAATTCTCAACATTCATTTCACAATTTGTTGATAAAGATTCACCTTTCAGTTCAAGAGAATCCTGAACACAGGACTGCTACTTAAATGAAAGTTAGTAATAGCTCTATAAAGGTCATCCTAATTAACCACTGCTTACAGCTGCCCCTTTACAACAGACGAACTGACCAAGACAGTCTAGAGCACTCCAAGTGCCACTGAATTTATAGCAGCACCTATACAGGAAGAGGTCAGCATAAGCACCAGGCCAGGGCCCTTGCACCCACAGCAAGGATGCTTCCAACCAGATTGTTTCCACAGTGAAGAAACTCAAACCTGAATTTAAGAATAAGTATGGTTTTAGGCTAAAAACATTTTAGCTTCAAATAAGGCAACTCCTAGTTTATACCCAAAAAATAGTTCTGAAAGAGCATATGTAGGACTGAAACCACAGTTCTTAAGATAAAACAAACACAGAACAATATATTTACTGCATAAGCTCCAGGGGGGCGGGAGGGGAAGTTCTACTAACATAAATCATAACAATTATGCATGTTTCTTACCTGTTTTTTTCTATGAAAAGTTGGTAAAAGTGTTTATCAAGCTCCCTCCCAGCTAGCATCAAATGCACGAAGTACCTAGGTCCAGAGTCTCCCATATGTGTTTAATTCTTGTCTCATCCTCTTCTACTGGAACTCTTTGACCATTACAGAGTCCGGACACCTCTATAACTATAAAATATAAAAGAAATACCTGGGCCCCCCAACAGTGTCCTCTTCAAACAGATATCAGAGAGATGCTCACAGCTATGCGATGCCTACGCAGATAAATGTTGGTTAAACACGAAACTGTCATCCAGCAGAGAAATTGGATATAAATTTGCATTTTAAATACTTTTGGTCTAAACTAAGGTCTTATGGAGTTATAAAATAACACAATCCTCTACACCAGATAAAACCACCCTTCCAACTCACTATCATTATGCTAGCATAGTATGTACATGCATAGCATGTACATAGCCTGCATGGGTTGACACAGCCACGAAGAATGAAGGGCCAACCTCTCCAGCAGATAAGAGCAAAATGCCCCATGCAGTCAACAGGAGCTGCAAGTCCTTAAGCAGTTGGGTTAGAATACCATTTTAACACTGATCTGAACTCATCTACATTGCTGTAGGCTTGGTATGAGCAATAAATAGTTTACTAGACAGTAAAAAAATTTCAATTCACAGAATGACAGAATGGTTGAGGGTGAAATCGATCTCTGGAGGTCATCTTGTCCAACTCCCTGTTCAGGCAGAGTCACCTGGAGCAGGCTGCCCAGGAGCACGTCCACTTTTGAGTATCTCCAAGGATGGAGATTCCACAGCCTCTCTGGGCAATCTGTTCCAGTGCTCGCTCACCCTCATGGGGAGGGGGAAGTGTCTCCTTACATTCAGAAGTCTGTACTAACAGAGTCCATCAACACTATTATTCTTCCTAATAAAAACAGTTTCCCCAGGAAAGACACTGTGAATTTCTGCAGGAAAAAGAAAATCTGAAAGCTCTTCTATTAAATCTAGGAAGCTAAGTCTGTTGGTACATGCCACTGCCGTGTAACACAAAGAAACAGTAGAATAAAAATCAGAAGTTCAGAAGATAAACATTTGTGTGGCAAACAATTGCATCACTATAAGTGCTTTATTAGAATATGCAGAAGGAATGTTTGGAACAAAACTTTGGAACTTGCTCAAATCCCAAGCTAACCATTTTGGAAGGCAGCCCACGTTAACATGCCTTAATTTAAAATGCTGCACGTCTACCAACTGTTAAAAGTACATTTGTGCTGGCCAGACTTAAGGAAGAATTTATTCACAACATTCCATTCTGCATAATGTAGAACTCCTGTTGGCTTTGCAACAAGTCTCAGATTATGATATAAATCTGTGTACATTGGTTCACAGAATCACAGAATGTTAGAGATTGGAAGGGACCTCGAAAGATCATCTAGTCCAATCCCCCTGCCGGAGCAGGACACCTAGATCAGTTCTTTAAATGTTTTGTCTCTGTCTATCATATACTGATAAAACAGGGTTTAAATTATAAGCTCTCTATCTCTGAGGACAAGAAGCGTCAGAAATTGCCATACCTGGAGCTACTTGCAGATTTCACCATTTTCAGCTTTGACACTGAAAACATGGAATGTCTTTCAGCACTAGTTAAATCCTGGTTTAAAAACAGCTCTTCCAATTCCCTCATACTAACTGATCTTCCTGTAAACTATACTTCCTCAATGGAGTTAAGTTTCTGCTTTCACTAATCAAGATCTACAAGAAATTAACCACAAGGTCTTGCCTGCCTAATTATGAAGCAACCTAGCACCTCTCCAGTTTGATGACCTCCACCATGACATAGATAAAAAAAAGTAAAAAAGGTTTAACAAAGCCTAGGTTTGAAGAGGATATTCACAGTAGCAGCATGTACAATTTTAATTTGGTATCATATTGGCTTTATCTACTTAATGCATTTAAGAAGACTAAGAAAAAACACTCCTCATAAACTACTTTAAATTCTCATAGTAAGCCTTTCTACAATGTAACTGAAAGCCAAGATAAATCTACACCAAAAGGATTTTTATCTGAAACTAAATACAAGTCATTCAAAACAGGCATTTTATCAGTTTGAGCAGAATTAGAGGTGGTTAAATTTAATCTTCTGATTTTTTATTATTTATCAAGAGGAAACATACAGGTGACTGAGTATGCCCAAATTTCAAAGAACTAAAAGAGTTCATCCATGTATGACATCTCAAGGTCTTTTTCCACAGAAGGAAGTCTAATTTGACCAGTATACAAAGGATATAGAACTTGTGACAGCACTTCCTTCAAAGATACAACTATTCTAAGCATACAAGACTTCAAATATAAGAAAAGAATTAACAACCTGCTTTAGAGAACACACCTGTATTACAGGATCCCAACCAAGTTCACTTTCTGTAGAGAACTGAAGTCATACCTGCAGCATTGAAAACAGAATATTGTCAGCTTTAAGACCTTTCATATCACATTTTGTAGTAACAGAAAAACAATATTTTTTCACTCAATTAGACACTATAGTATTAATTACTACAGTATAGTAATTAATAAGTAGTACTACACTATTAATCCTCACAGTCTCAGTTACAATTTCACCTGTATTGCAATATTACAGTACTATCCAGAACCACTATCCTTCCGTTTCCTGTCTTGGGACAATATTGTCCCATCATCAGATCACATATAACAAAACCATTTGGATAAATTTTCTTTACATCAGAGATGACATGCCTCCACCATTCTGCTTTAAAACTCTTAGCTGTTTCCCTTTTTTTTGCTCCAATAACCATCAACTTTTCTTCATTTTCGAAATATTTCCATAATTCTGACCATCTATTCTAATTTCTTAATCTGCCACACATCCCACCTGAGTTTTAATAAGCTTATTTTGTCATCAGCTTCTCACACTGCATGTTTATGTTTGATGCATCTCTGATGTCATGCATTCAACTTCTCAGAGATTAGAATAGTATCAGCCTGTTAGAAAGTAGAGCACAAATGTCTAAAAAATACTGTCAGAAGCTAAGAGCTGCTTTCTAAATCAAAGCTTAGAAGCAAACATTTTCCTTTCTCCTCGCGAGCTATTATCCTGATTATCTGAGTAACACTAGCTACTTTGTTTTCTAGACGCCAGGATTTTCTTCTTCATTAAAATTTCTTAAAACACCTGCAAGAGCAAAAGACTGGAAATTATTAATAAATTTCTGCACAGCAAACCATGCAGACGTAGCACTTGATACTGGATGCTACACTAAACTAAAGTTTCCTAAAGATTTAGACAAGCCACATCATTTCCATGTGCTTCATGATTTGTAAAACAGGTCTTGAAAAATTTAATGCACTATCTTTTTATTTTTCAGCATTCTGACATTACAGCTCAAAGGAAGCATTCAAAGCAGCAATAACAAAAAAATCAGTTCAGACTCACTGAGAAAGAACTGATATTATAAATCAGTTCCTTGGGGACAGTAGAAGACACTCACCTTAATGAATGTACTATTCACGATCTTTCCAAATCTGAAAGTGTCATCAATATATTCCTATTAAAAAAAACCCACCAAGTTTTATAAGCAAGATAAAAAATTATTTATGAAACATAAGTCCACTTAATAATGCAATATAAGCCCAACCATGTAAAATACACATTCCACAAATTAAGAACAGTTATAAAGATTACACATACAAAAATGAGAGGAAATGCATGAGATTTTAAAGATGAAAATATTTACTATGATTTTAACCAAACTTCTAAATTGGTTCCTTGAGCAACGTACAGAATAACTATTCACTGAATTCTCTTCCCTTTACAAACATAAGAAACTCCCCAAAATTCCATCTCCATGATCTTCACTTATTGTTAGAACATTGTTTAGATAATACAGACATCAACACAGAGCATTTAAAAATCAATCATTCACCCATCTGAGAGCATCCAAGCTGAAGAATGAGTATGATTCTGTGATTCTGTGTATTATCTAGTCTAAAATGTGCAGTCACACATTCAATTCAGGTTTCTTCTTCCACAGATTAAAATCTTAAAACATTTCATCACCAAAACACAAGTTCCAAATTAGCCTTAGCAGATTAACAACTCTTCAGAGACCTAATTCAACCAAGGAAACCTACACTAGTTTCATATTCCAAAATACAAGTATGCATTCTCAAAGCAAAAGCTACTCCCAGCTTACTAAATCTTCCACTTATTTTACTTATCTCTGTTAAAAAAAAAAAAAAAAAAACCCACACCAAAAAAACACCCACACAGAAGCTTCCTTAGCTATGTCCCGTGGGGGGCAAACAGAAAAAAAATAAATCCTTCAGTCTTCGAGTGATGGTTCGTAAATGGACCTAAGCTTATGTCATCAGTCACTTCTATTCTTGAAGCACCCACGGCACCACTATTTAATTTCCTTCCAGTTTTAGACTGGTTTCATTGTTTTTAAAGCTGCTTATTCTCCCTGCAGGATAACTAACAGCAAAAAGTTAGCCTGAGGTAACAGGACAAAGTCAACGCAGATTTACTATGAATAGCATGGTACCAGCGCAGTGTTGAACTTATGAGTTCACCTCATGGAGGGTCAATCTCACCTATGCTGTGCTGACCAACCTGGGCCAAGCTCCCAATTCATCATTTGCTTCCCTGTAACTATAATAAGCGAAGTACCAAAGTAATCTCCCCTTCTCCCCTCCAAAAAACCTTCAGAGCCACTCCTCCATCACCTAGCAGGAAATGTGCCCTTTTCTGCCAGACCAGAGGCAAAGTTTATTTTACCCTTTCAGGTAATCTTCTGCTCAGCCCACCACCTGGGCTCAAGTCTCCACAGTGGATCTGAACCGATCATCCCCAAGAGCCATCAGAAACTGTCCTTCTCCAGTTTATTCCTTCACCTTGAATAATAAGCCATGGCCCAGAGCTAAGTTTAACTGCCAACAGGCTGGGTGTTTGCCATAAAAAAAAAAAAAGTGAGCACAGACATGCAGCCCATGCCAAGACATCTTGTGAAGAAGCTGAACACAGTCTCACTTACCTGCCCCACAGTAATTTCTAGACATCCTTCCTTCTAGTGTTACAATAGGTACCTTCGTAAAGGTGAACTCAAATTCTTTGTATTAAGCGTGAATTTAAAAAGACGCTTGATTTTCTCTGTAAACAGAAAACACTATTCTCTTCCTGAGTGGAACTGGAGAAGGAGATCAGTAGTCAGAACTTCTCAATATCTGCATATGTCCACTCATGTAGTTTTTGACCAAAATAACAAAGATGATACATTCGAGGAAGTAACACAGAAAAAAGGGAAAAATTATCACACTCCACTGTGCAGTCATGTATTTCACCTTTATTATAGGTGAAACCAGATCTAAAGTATCTACAACACCATATTTCAACTTCAAGATTTGTTGACATCGCCACAAAGCAGTATATTTGTGCGCCTGCTGCTCCCCTGCCTTAAAAAGGGCAGAATTTCACCATGGGGTACTAGATTTACAAAAGTTCCAGGTTAATGCTGCTCTTTAGACATTGCTGCAGTTCATACCCAGTTAAAGATTTCAGTCAAAATGAAAGTCCCATTCTGGAACACTCTATGCCGAATACATCCAGAAGGAGACCAGTAACAAGCAGCGTCCCTCAGGGGTCTGTTCTGGGGCCAATGCTGTTTAATATCTTCATCAATGACATAGACGGTGGGATTGAGTGCACCCTCAGTAAGTTTGTGGATGACACCAAGCTGAGTGGTGAGGTTGACACCCCTGCAGGATGCAATGCCATCCAGAGGGACCTTGACAAGGTGGAGAAGTAGGCTTGTGAAAACCTCATGAGGTTCAACAAGGCCAAAAGCAAGGTTGTGTACATGGGTCAGGGCAACCCCCAGTATCGATACAGGCTGGGGGATGAAGAGATTGAGAGCAGCCCTGCAGAGAAAGACCTGGGTGTCCTGGTGGATGAGAAGTTGGACATGAGCTGGCAATGTTCGCTTGCAGCCCAGAAAGCCAACCGTATCCTGGGCTGCATCAAAAGAAGCGTGGTCAGCAGGTCAAGGGAGGCGATTCTGCCCCTCTGCTCTGGTGAGATCCCACCTGGAGTACTGTGTCCAGCTCTGGAGCCCTCAGCACAGGAAGGACATGGACCTGTTGGAGCAGATCCAGAGGAGGGCCACAAAAATGACCAAAGGCCTGGAACACCTCACCTATAAGGAAAGGCTGAGAGAGTTGGGGTTGTTCAGCTTGGAGAAGACTCCAAGAAGACCTGATTGCAGCCTTTCAGTACCTGAAGGGGGTTTATAAGAAAGATTAGCATAAACTTTTTTAACAGGGCCTGTAGCAATAGGACAAGGGGTAATGGTTTTAAACTAAAAGAGGATAAGTTTAGACTAGATATAAGGAAGAAGTATTTTATGCTTAGGGTGGTGAAACACTGGAACAGGTTGCCCAGTGGTAGATGTCCCGTCCCTGAAAACACTCAAGGTCAAGTTGGATGGGGCTCTGGGCAACCTGATCTAATGGAAGATGTCCCTGCTCATTGCAGGTTGGTTGGACTAGACGACCTCCATGGTCCCTTCCAACTCAAACTATTCTATGATTCTATGAAATAAATTCTCTATTACTAATACAGCCACCATCAGATCAGTAATACACTCCATAAAGTGTGGCATCCTAACAAACTATGTACTTGTCCTATGAGTTGGCTATATTAGTACTGAGAAATAAGAGCTCGAGTCACAGAGGAACACATGGTAGATATGTAATTGAAATCAAAGAAGTGCTTTACATACCAAAGATCTTTGTACAATTGAAGAAACTAAGTAGTAGAAACATGAAAGTACATGTAATAAGGTCAAGTACAAAAACCATACTCAGATTCTATTGGGTCTGGCTGGGATGGAGTTAATTTTCCCCATAGCAGCATTCATAGCTGTGCTCTGTATTGGTAAGTAAAAAGGTTGATAACACAGCAGCACTTTGGCTACTGCTGAGCAGTGCTCGCACAGCATCAAGGCTGTCTCTCCAATGTTCCGCCCTCACCAGCAGGCTGGGGGTGGGCAAGATATTTGGAGGCGACATAGCCAGGACAGTTGACCCAAACTGAACAAAGGGATACTCCACACCGTATGACATTTGCTCAGCAATAAAAGCTGAGAGAAAGGAGGAAGAGAAGGGGGCATTTGTTATTACAATGTTTGTCTTCTGGAGCAACTGCTATGCATACTGAAGCCCAGCTTCCTGGGAAGGGGCTGTACATGGCCTGCTGATGGGAAGTAAAGAATAAATCTTTTGTTTTCCTGCACTTCCACACATGGCTTTTGTTTTATTAAACTGCCTTTGTCTTGACCCACGAGGTTTCTTCCATCTTATTTTCTCCCTGCCCTGTCCTGCTGAGGAGGGGAGTGATAGAGCAGCTTGGTGGGCACTGGTGTCCAGCCAAGGTCAACCCACCACAAAGCTGCAAGGAATAAGGAGGACAGGAAGTAAAAACAACAAAAAAGAGAAGTACTGGACATCCTTACCACTTCATCTCATCTACCTAAGCTTCAGTTATGAAAAATTACAGGTGTTATTAACGGCAAAGTGCCTCTATTTTAGGATAGGATGTCTGAAAGGCAGTATAGCTTTGGCTCTACTTTTAAAAAGACAGTTCTACTTTTAAAAGCCTAAATGGAAAACTAACTATTCTAGCTACAAGATATATCAAGCATTAAGAACTACCATGGTACACTCAAAACCAGCTGGAAGCAAAACCCCCAAAGTCTCTCCCAGACATTTTGATGTACAAATGAGTTAACTTTTCCACAACTGCATCTTTTCAGGATGAACATCGGTACCAGTTGCACTTCTGCAGCCCACTCACACAATCTGCAGAATAACCTCATACTCTTGCCCCAGGAAACATGCTCTCTGTGTATTTCAGTCCACTTGACATGTCAACAGTATGTTGAGTCTCTACCCCTTCAGCACTCCCAATAAAGTTTTGCTTTCTATTGGGAGAAAATAAAAGGAAAAATCATACTCCATTATTATATATCTCAAGGAAGGTAAATTTAGCCTCAATTCTTATTGTGTCCTACAAGCAAAGTTGCCTAAATCAGACTACCAAAAAAAGTCAGAGAAATCAGAAGGCTTCTCTAGGACTACCACACACTACTTCAGCAGCAGCTGAAAACATCTGTACAAAAACTTCTCTTAACCTTACAACAGCTGTCACATACACAAAAAATTCTCATTAACCTCACTTGCATATGTGGATAAGCAGGGAAAGCACACTCTTCTGAACCACTGCCTGTGTAACTTGCATGAAACTTAGTACAGTGCTGCTGTCCTCAGGAACTCTTCAAGAGGGAGAGATGACCAACTAAGAGGACTCTGTACTGGACTGGTACAAGTCCAGGGCAGGCATTCAGACATAAAAACCCTAGATACACTCAAAGGCTAACCACAGAAATATAAAACAGAAGCACAGAAGCCTGATCTGCCCATGTTCCAGCACTGCTGGCAGGCAGAGTACAAGCAGGCTGCAGGAGCATGCCCAGTGATCTACTAAGCCACT